ACATGCTGTGACAGCTTCTTCTGTTCCACCGTGTTTGTCCGTCCAGCATTTCCTGTGAGCCACCGGACATCTGCTGGATTCGTGCACATATTGTAGAAGAAATCAATCAAACCGGAAAGCAAAGCCAGGCTTTTCTGTTCCACATATGAGGATGAGGGTAAATGTGAAGCTTTGCTCTTCTTTTTTTTTTCACGTTCGAAGAAGTGATGCATGTGCTTTTAAGTTGTCAGTTGCTTCGGAGAGGTCAGATTTGTTGCTGCTCCTCAGAGAAACGAGTTTGTCTTCCAGTTCGTACCAACAGGAACACCAAGTGAAAGTGCCAATATCCACCAGGATGGAGAAGTAAACACATTAAATGTTCATTTTCAGTGGGCTCAAAGAACAGCATGTGATGTCTTTGCTCTCTACCATCGTTTTCTCGCTCCTTCTCCTGTAATCGAGTCCATTTTGTGAGCAAAACTTGAATCTAGCTGCCGACGAAAGCGAGATTTTATAGGAGTGATTTCTACTTAAAAGGAATGATGCACTGTTTTTAGTCTTGACATGCAGATGTGAGTTCATTTCTCTCTGTGTTGCGTATTTCTCTCATCGCCTCAATCAAAGTTTGTGCTGAAAATCAGAAACAATCATGTGCGGCATTTGTACGAACAAATTCCTGGAGAAAAAAAAGAGAATATTTTCCGACCTGTTCAAATGAGGAGTCGCCTTGGTGACCAATGTAATAAAACAATACCGCGCGTATTGGCTTGTGTGTGCTTGTGACATTTCAGACATTTAGAAGTTCCTTTTTTATCTCACAAAGAAGCTTAATTGAGGTCTTTTCTGCCTGAACTGCAGATATCTGAGTCGTTTTTCTCAGGATTGGCGCCAGAGAGGCTCTTTTTCTGGTGGGTGGCTTTTATTTAGGCTTGTATTTAAGAGAGATATCGACTGGATTGATGACCTCAGACTCTCTCTGCTGCTTTACACCAAATCTGAAAAGATTAAAGTTCTTATTTAGTGGGAGTCTCTGCTCCAATGGCGCGAAAAAAGCTCAAATTTAAAAGAAATACAGACAACCAGCATATTCACATAATAAATACCTGATAAATGCCCTGAACTGAACTGAATAATAATTTTGGTGTTAGATTGAAAATCAACAATTTTTGCTGAGTCATCGTATTGGAAAGGAACGGCGACGTTTTTCGGTCTTTATCAACTGATGATGACCAGCGAGTTTCCGTGAGCGATTTTTTTCTGCTCCATAATCCAAGCTGACACTTCCTTTATCCATTTTGATTCACAGTGAGGTTTTAAGCACGAGTGGGTTTTACGACAGGAGTGAAAGGTCAGTAAATCTGGACCTGTGTCTGCAGATCGCTCCTCCAAAAACCACCCCGTTCTCTCACAAAATACCAAGACAGTCCGTTCATTTTGGTCACTCTTTTATCATCAAAGCAAAAGGTGTAAATTTAGAAAATATCAGTCTTCTAACCCTCTATCATCTGTAAGTGTTTCCCACGTGTCTGTCAGAAATGGGAACTCAAGGCAGGACTCAGAAACAGAGAGCTAAAAACTTTAATGAAACAAAAGCGCGCTCGCTGGGAGTGGAAAGGCAAAGTACAAAATATGAATCACTCTAGAAAACGCGGCAGACAAAGCTATGAACAAAGTATCAAATAGTATTCACTCTAACGTGGCAGAACAAAACTGTGGACAAAGCACAAAATAAACTCACTCTGAAAAGAGGATGGCAAAAGTTACAAAGTAGAAAATAAACTCAATCTGAGTAAAAAGAAAGGGATGTACCTTTCAAAATAAAACAGGAAATGACAACACCAAAACACCAAAAAATCCCCCAGGTGGGACAGCATCTTTGTGGTGAGAAACATCAGCATCTTACGGTTTCCAGGCAGGAGTCCCCCAGGGCTCAGTGCCGGGCCCCCTTCTCTTTTCTACTTTCACCACCTCTCCAGGTTCCATGATCCACTTGCTGCTTTAATTCGACGCAGATGATGCTGATCTCTGTCCGCTGTTGCCGTGGTTTCGGCGTCATGGGTCAGAGAGCGCCGCCTCCAGCTCAACCCCTCTGTTTTCTGGGAAGAAACACTCTTTTATCATGCGTTGCCTCTCGGGTTACTGGAACTGGGGGTTCTGGTTGATGACCTCTGACCTTCTGAGTGGCTGACACAGCTCCCGGTACAGTCCCTCCTCAGTGGCGTCCTTGTCTGGTTCCCTTAAGTTCCTAATATTAGCTAAATTAATCCTCAGAGCTCAGATCCGAGTTCCCATTCGGATCCAGACTCCTCATCCTTGGTCCCCAGTTGTTGGAATGACCTACCAGCTCCTAGCAGAGCGGGGGGGACCCTCTCTACCCCAAAAAATTTAACCACTAACAATTTTTACCTTTTATTCCATCTCTTTGGTGTCGTGACCTGATATTAATCAGCCTAAAGATCTGCTTTCTCCCTTAAGCCGACTGCTGATGTTAGAGCTGTTCAGTGTATATTTTTCTTTAAAACACGCTTGATTACTGATTCTCCTGTTTCCATCTTATTCTCTTTGGATGGAAGTGTTAGCTGAATGAAGAAAATTAAGAATATCAGTGATATATGACTTGGTCTAATGGTAGGTCAGAATATTTTCATGTGTGTTAATTGGAAAATTATGCAAATTTACAGGTTTTTCACACTGAACCAGACGGCTGCTAAATGGATATAACACAGATTTTTTTGTCTGGGCAAAAAAGAAGGAAGAAAGGCTGAAATCTAAACGTTAACTGTATGTTGGCTCAGAGAGGTGGTTACATATTTACAGATGTAATCAGATCTCAACTAAACTTGTGTCATCCTGCCGTGGATCCTTCTGGAAAAGCAACGCTGGGCCGGAGCAAAGGGCCCAAAGTGAATTTCAGATAAATATGTGGATGAATGTGGCTCTCTTAAAGTGTTAAAAATAGCTCTGTGGTGGCTGGAAATCTCCTGATCACAAGCTTAAAGTTTTAGCCGGAGGCCAAAACACAAACTCGTTTTCAGCTGGAACAGTTCGAGTCGGAGCTCCGTGCCGACTTTTCCTTCACATGTGACGCTTCCTGGATTTTCTTTTTCAACTCGGCCGGATCACCTGACACCCGGGACACAAATATCTTAGCTTAAAGATTCATAAAAACGCAGAACGGCGGCTTTTGGAAGCTGTTCTGTTTGCTGTCTTTCCCCTCGAGACGCTCAGTGGTTCCACTTGCTAACATGAGAAACCACCAACAGGGGGGCGAGGGTCCCGGATATGGGACCGCTAACGTCCCAACGGGTTCAGAGGGAGTTAAGCGCTTTATTTGCTGAGTCAGAGCCGCCGGCGGCCTGCTGCTCCACAATGAGGGAGCTTTGTGCTGCCTGATGGAAAACAGGCCCCCGGACACCAGGCAGGCTGCCCCGGTCAGCTGCCCTTTAGCGGCAGGAGGCTAACGGTGAGGAGGCCGGCGCCGGGTCCCAGCCGGGCTCTCAGGAATTCACCTCCCAGCCTCCCGCGAACCGGAAATTATAGCAAAAAAGAAACTGGTGTTGACACTGGAACCACGACTGGCTTCTGGTCACTCAGAGAAAAGACTGTAAAACAGATCTGGTTGTGTTCTGGTCTCTTCATGGTGTTAGAATTTGGCTAAAATTTCCCACTTTAGCATTGTATGCTATCACATGATCTATGTAAATTACTGATTGTCTTATTCCTTTTAGAACTATATTTTTGTGTTAAAGTCTCTGGCTGTGTCCACAGACTCTCTTTTCTCTCTTTTTCTCTCTCTGTAGCATTAGATCCACCTTTAGGTCAACACACACAAACACACACCATTTGTTACCACATTCCTGTCATCTGCATGAATTAGGACCTGGCCTGTTCCTGCCCAGAGGTAACTGGCCAATAGGACTGTGTCCAGTCCTCCTTTGAGGAGGCGGATGGAGCCCAGGAGATAATGCCCATCACCCAGATCTCAGGGCTCTTTGCCCACTGAGACCCAGAGAGAGCTTTTAGTCTGTTAGAGCACAGCTGATATACTTAACTGTGACCTAATAAATGTATTTTTTTACTCTTGATCCATTGTGGTTTATTCTCAGGTTTCCAACTAAAGAATCGGGCCAACAATGGTCAAGCACCGAAATGGTGGCAGATTCAAGGGTTTTCATACAAAATAGACCAAATATCAGTTAAAAGTTGTTATCATTATTATTTTGAACTGCTCCCACAATCTAATTCCAAGAAAATCATACCTGTGGTAACAGGACTTGGGTTTACTGGTCTTGTGTGAATGATCAATAATCAGGGTCACTAGTGGAAATAGATCCATTTTTCCTCGATGCCCCATAAAAGTGAAGAACTGGGAGCCCAAGAAAGTTCGTAAAGACCTGTATGGTCTGTCTGGGTGCACTTTAACGTGTATCAGGAATCATTCAAACACGCAATCGTGTTTTTCTGCCTCGGAGGAAAATAACCCCCCCCCCTCCCAGCTGCCTTTAATCCAGCGGCGCGACCTGCCACGTGGCTACTTTTCCAGGTTTGTTGTTTTCCTGTGAACAAACGGCGCTTTTTTCCCCCTTCAGGATCCAGGATGCGCCTCCGGGAGCGCGGGCTGGACATGGGCACACCCCCCCGGCTCCCGGGGGTGGGAGGAGGATGCGGAGTCGAGGAGGGGTTCAAGTTCAATTAGGACAGCCCTCAAAAAGTTCCCACGCAGAGCGGAGCAGAAAGAAAAGAAAGAAAAACGCCAGTCGGAGGCGCAGAGCGAGCCAGACATCCGGTGCCAAAAACATGGGTTCCGCCGGGAAGACGTGGCTGCTGCTGGCCGGCTTCGTCCTCCTCTACGTGGTCTACCTCCTGTTCGGGGCCCTGGTGTTCTCCAGCATCGAGCGGCCCGTGGAGGAGAGGCTGCGGCGCGAGCTGGAGCTCGTGCGGGAGGAGTTCCTCAACCACAGCTGCGTCAGCGCCGCGGCGCTGGAGCGCCTGCTGGCCAGGGTCATCCGGGCCAGCAAGTCCGGCGTGTCCGTGCTCCGGAACGCCTCCGACGGCTCCAACTGGGACCTGGCCTCCTCCATGTTCTTCGCCAACACCCTGGTCACCACCGTGGGTGAGTCCCTGAACCGGGGAGAACCGGGCCGCGTTTTTACGCAGAAACCAGATGGAGCGCAAACAAACTGGCACGGCGTCCCGGGCAGTTAAAGGCACTTTGAGGAGAGTTTATTCAGATTTATTATTAGTATTATTAGTCTTAAGAGGGGGGGCTAATGCCAGTGGGAGTTGGACGTGCTTTCGCCACGTGTCCGGGTTTTTACAGACAAGTTTCAGATGTGAGTTTTTGGGTGGAGAGGCCTAAGAATCCAACGAACCCTGAAGGGGAAAGTGTCTCCTAACTTCTGGGTTTTCTGCTTCATTTGTATGAAAAAATCCCCGAATCTTTATTAACTTTCTGCTTTGGAAAGTACCTCATGTTCGCCCCTATTAAAAAAAAAAAAAAAGTTTAATCTCCAAGCCACTAATTCTAGAAGTTGCTTTTTTATTTTTTTTTCCCCTCAGAGAAATGAGTAATGAGATCAGATTAAAGGGCCAGAACACCTGCTGCTTTTCTGATCTCATATCTGACCACAGGTGAGCGGGTTTGTGGGTTTCCCTGTTCTACTCACATTTCACCACCAGCCCTTTTCTTCGTGGCTGATGTTCTAGTTTTAGGCCTGAGGGTCAGAGCAGCCGGTTCAAGAAGGGAAAATCCCTACAGAACCACAAAAAAACAAACCTAATGCAGCCCTTTTCCTATTTTTCTGAGCCCGGCCGCCTCCTATTGGCTGATCCCAGATGGAGCAGCTTGGCTTTTACTGGCTGTTATGCAGGTAAAGGTGCTTTAGTGTCTCCCCACCTGCTCGGCCTCCATCAGGAACCCAACACCACCACAGACGAGTCCCCAAAAGCTGCTGACCCGCTCACAGAAAGGCAGCGCTGATCTCAGGATTCAGCCAGTAAATCAGTCCATGAACTAAAAAAAAGGAGAATCTGAATTTAAGGGGAAAAGTTGTTTTTTTTAAACATTTTGAATGAGCCTGAAAGTCTCCCCTCTGCTCTGAACCCATTCCTCCTCCATCTCTGAGCTCCTTCCTCCTCCATTACAGGCTGTTAAATAACGGACATTAACACATCTAGCTTCTTTTTGACCAATTTTGGTCATTTATGTGTTATTTGGCTTTGTTCTGGTCTTTTTAACTCTATTTTTGCTTTTTTTTGTTGTATTTTTGGTCTTTTTTTTTTAGCATTGTTTTGACTTTTTCCTGCATTTTTTTGGTAAATTTAAGCCTTGATTTTTGCTTTTTTGGTTTATTAAAAATCCTTAAAGGAGTGAGGATCCATCCCTCCATCAGAGCTGTTGGGGTTCATCCACGTCTGGTTCCTCTGGTAGAGCTCAGCCTTTCCTCCTAATTCCTTCCTTCAAGGTCCAGATGCAGATCGATGGGTCGCGTCTGGACCTGGAGATTAATTAATTTTATATTTTTTAAGGCCTTCTATTTCTTCTTTTTGTCTCTACTTGTCCAGTTTGTTTCTCTTTTCCAAAATATATTGAATGATGTGCATTGCTATGAAGCCTAAAAGGTTTTAACTTAACTGTGTGTTTCAGCATAATTTTAGCTCCAATTTAATTTGTCACAACTGAGCTAAATGCTTAATATTTAATAGTTTTAGGCAAGTCCCTCCATACGCACTCCCGTTCTGTTGATTACATTTTTATAAAAGAGCTTTTGAGGCAGTCGGTTGTTTTTAAAAAGAGCTTCTGTGGTTTTTCAGTCTGTGAAATTCAGAATTAGTTCTCGCTTCCTGTTTGAACAGGATGCTTTGAGACGCTAACAGTAACAGTGTTACTGGAAGGAAAACAACCCCTTTGTTCAAATTTCTCATTGGTTTTTTTTCTGCATCTGAATGTGATGGATAAACATTGGAAAGTGGAAATCAAAATGCCAATAGAATGGAAGAAACGCATTTAAAATGAGTCATTTTTGTCTTAAATGGGAAGGATTTCTCTTTGAATTTAAATAAGAGAAAAAGGAACTGAGCAAATCTGCATAATTTAGGTATAAAATAGCCGTTTCTTCCCTCTGTGACGTTCCTGGAGGCCTTTATGGCCAGACTCTATCTAGTATAAGAGATAAAACACTTTGTCATGGGTACAGAGGAAATGCAAATTCATGCATGAAGCAGAACAGAGATGACCTTTGTGTTCAGAGTCTGTTTGCTCTGAGCTGGGCTTCCCGGTGGAGACTTCCTGAAGCCCTCGGTAGGACTGTTCCGCGCTTCGGGTTGAGGAACCCGGTGGACCGAGCCGGCCTTAAACACATCACTGGCCTTTTGTCTGAGCGCTCCAGCTTGAAGTGAAACTTCAATCTGAGCCAGATCAGGTTCAGCTGGCCGTGTCCCACCTTCTGAAAAGAGTTTAAGCAGAACTGAACCAACAGAGGAAGTTTCAGGGGTCAACTTCTGCTGTTGGCTCTTTAGAATATGATAAAATTAGCATTTTTATTCAGTGTGAAGCTTTAAAAAGGTGCTTTTAATAAGCTGATCCAGGCCTAAACAATACATCTGTTGAGGGTTACTTCCCCTAAATGAGGCT